GTTTGTAAAATATATTGATAACAAAAACATGACAAGTGAGTTAAAAGATTTGCGCAGTTTGTGAAATGGTTAACTGCTAACAGGGAACAGGTTTATCCACAATGAGCTTGATTCATTGCTGGTCCAAAAATGCTGAAAATGCTCTTGCTTTTCTCCCTGGATTAAAAAAATCTTTAATGTTAGTTTTAATCAAATCTGAGATATTTTTTTTTTAAAAAACTAGTATAACACATTTCTACATTGGGGAACTAAGGTTCAAACTAAATATTCAATTAAAAATATACTGACAGCTCCAGTAAGACATTAAAGTAAAAAAAAAAAAAAAAAATCCAATTATGAAGTTTAACTTTAATCTCAGCCAAGTACACTCAAGTGTGCTTGTTGAAAATACTCCCTTAAGTTGGACTTCCAATCTAAAAAGTCCAAGAAGCCCCTACAACTCCAACATTACAATCCAAGATAAAACTCACTAAATGAGCCATATGCTGAGCACTGACCAGACTATTGTTGGGTTCTTTGTATGAGAGAGAAGACAAATATGCTCAAAGTTTAAGTCTTGAAAATTTATTATCACACAATTGGAATTTCAACCTAGTTTTTAAGCTGTCTTTAAAGGGACTGGAGAGACAAGAATGCCACACCCAAGCAGTAAACACTTTTTTATGAGACCCCGGGGGAGGGGATGCTTCCCTCTAACAAACACGCCATATTTATAGCCTTGTTTTCCTGCAGGTATTAGAACCCCCCCCCCCTCACAAATTCTCTCTGTCTGTTACTGTCACTGTGTATAATTCTACTATCAATACATATCTTTGTAGTATAAAAGATAAAACATAAATGTGTGGTAAAAATTAGGAGATAGATAAGGTAAGCCGACCCTGACCCACTGAAAAGGCACAGTTTTTATACTGGTACACAACAGGACAGAAGGGTACAACACTCAGTGGAGGGTATGGTTTTCATGTGGTAGTTAAACCTTGCTTTTCCAGCTTTACTGTTGGAACTTTATCAACTTGAGTGGTGGCACTCCCAGCTCCAACCTTGGACTTCTGAGGCAAATAGAAAGCATTACTGCAGCATGTGGGCTGAGAGAGTTTTTGTTCTCCTTGTTGCCATGGAACTGTTACTTTTATTGGGAATTGGACCTCACTGCAGCAGTTACACAATGCACGTGTTCTTTAATCCAGAGATCAGCTGATTGGCCTGGTGCTGGCCACAAGAATGTCTCAACTTTTCTGGAATTTGGGTTGTACACTATGAAATTAGTCTCTGTGCAAAAGTTTGCAATTAATCAAGCCCCCAAATTAAACTACAAGAAGACCACAGTGCATTGCAACAGGCACAGGAAGTAATACGATGCTGCAGTAATGCTGTCTGTGGCTCATACTGTCCTTTCTGCTGGGTCTACCACTCACTAAGGATGTGGTGGTCCGATTCCCGTTCGGTGGCTGCTCTGCGGGGCGTGTATATATGTCCCATACTTATGTGTTGTACCGAGTGAATCGACTGAAAGGGAAGGAATAGTTATGTCTATAACTTCTGTTCCCTGAAGGAGAGGAACGAGGTACAACACAAGGTGGCCCCACTGAGCAGTTTGGCTCGGTGAAGAGTGGCTATCGAACTGAGGGATGACTGTGATGACAGCGGCTATATGTGCAGGCGAGGCCGTGTGCGTGTCATCACACGTCATCTGCCTTAAAGGCGTGAAGAATAGCCAGTGCACACGTTAATATTTGCCATTTAATTATTATTAGTTATCTGATAGCCCTGTCAGCCATTTTTTATTATTATTATTATTAACGTAGCAGCTAACAGACTGTACTTGGATAAAAGATAAATATTTGCTGCAGGCTGGAACGGGCGGAATATTGAGCCATGAAGGAGTGAAATATGGACACATAGAGATGATGTGTTAAACTTTTTTTCTCAAATTTAGGTGATCCAAAATGAACCAGTCAACAACAAGAAAACCACCTCAGATTGAAAAATGGACCACAGAGGATGTTCACCAGTGGCTGATGGCAGACGTCAAAGTTCAACAGAGTTGTGCAGACAGATTTACTGAAGAGGAAGTGTCGGGGGCATGTTTAGTTTCCTTCAATAAAACAGACATTTTGGACTTCGGAATAAAACACGGTCCTGCTGTGAAAATCACAGCTTATCTGGAAAGTCTGAAAAAAGCATGTAAGCATCAATCAGAGTTCCCAGAATATGTGGAAAAATGGACCAAAGAGCAGGTGAGCCAGTGGTTAGTGCAGCATGTGAATGTATACAGCAAATATGCAGAACGACTCCAAGAGGAAGATGTGTCTGGAGATTGCCTTGTTTGCTTCAGGAAGCAGGATTTAGTGGATCTAGATGTAAAAGGTGGTCCTGCTGTAAGAATTATTTCAGCACTCAAACTACTGAACCAGAAACCGGAGCCAACTCTGCAACCTATTACAGACCAAAAAGAAGCTGCCAAACCCACTGAACCAGGAAATGCTCAGGCCAAAAAAATAAACCGTCCAGAATCATATGAAAACACTGAATCCAAAAGAGATGGGATAGTGGAAAAAGACTCCAAACAGATTCAGTTACCATTTGGTAAAACTTCAGAGAAGGAAGAAATTCAACAACCAAAGCCACAGAACACGGGGGTCTGGAACAAAGGAACTGTTGTGGTAAAGTTTCTGTTATTATTTATACACCACACTACATCAAATATTATATACATATTAATATAGCTTTATACAAATGAAAAAATAAAAATCAATAAAGCTGTTGGAGTCTTAAATATTGCTTTCTTCCAGCAGACCACAGTGTCACCCGATGCATCCAGGATTACTGTGGAGATCAAGAACATCCTTGATGACCTTTCCAAAGTGGATCTTAAAACATTTATTTTTCATTTAAGATTACACACTGAATCCAAACGTAAACCTATTTCTCAGAGTAAACTGGAGGATAAGGACAGCATGGACATAGCTAAATTAATGACTGCCCACTATGGAAGCAAGGGAGTTCCACAGGTCGCAATACAAATTCTAAAAGAGATAAATCAGCTGCCACTTGCCCGTCAGCTGGAAGAAAGAATAAGTAAGTAAGAATCAACTAACTTTTCAATTCATGGTTATGTAGTGGTTGAAGCCTGTTCCTAGTAAGAATGTATTCAAATAATAAAATGTGCAACTTAGGTATAAGCTCTTAGGTAAAAACTATAAATTCATGAGAGCTTTGGGATGTGGTTTAGAGTATAACCAACTGCATTCCTGTAGGAGTACTATACCACAGCATAGGGATGTTTGATATAACAATATATGTCGGATGACGGTATGAAAATGTCTACCGTTTCATATTACGCTATCGTTTGTTTTATGGTGTCGCAAAATAAACTAGTTATTCAGCCTGTCTGGGAAAGTAGTCTCATCATTCTTGACCCCCTGTCTAGGTTTGTAATTTGTCAGTGCCTGTACTCCCTGTCACATTCGCTTGGTATTTCCTGTCTCACAGAGGTGTCCCTGGATTCTCTCTGCATGAGTGTATTTTGCAGCCTTTATTCCTTTATTAGAGTGCAGACCTGGCCCAGCAAGGAGCACTCTGATCCCCTGTCCTGAAAGCTGCATCTCAGGCTGTCAGCTGTGAGCACACCTATGTGGTCATCCAGGATTTCTGGTTGTCTGTTATGTCCAGCAACGTAGCAATCAGAATTATTGTCTGAAGGCCAAAATAAATTCAGAACAGATTTATTTTCCCAAGTTGACCCAATCTTTGGTGCTGTTATTGAGTCATCAGTGTTTTTGATTAAAAACTGATGGCTGCTTAATGTTGTCCTACTTTCTATTCACACTTCGCTCCTAGATACGTTTCCATTGCAGGTCTATTTTAAGTTCCAAATATGGGTGAAACACTTGCATTTACATGATGACAACTGAGCACTACAGAGCTGTGCATTAAAAGGAAGCTTTAAAAGCAAATAATTTGTCTTATTTTTAATAAAATTATTCGAATTACTCATTGAATTGTTGCAGCCCCAGTTTAAATTACCATAAAAAGTACTTGTCAGGACATACTTGTATTCTATATACTGGAAAATTCAAAGTTTTGAGTGACAGATATTGTTCATTTTTATTTCTCTTATGATTTTATGAAAATCACAATAATATATAAAATACATCAAGCTGAACTGTTAACCTTCAGAGTGATCCTGTTTATGCTTCCTGTTGGGTCTGCGCTGGTTCAGAGACTTATCAC